TCACAAAAATTCCGCGCGGTTTTTCGTTTTTGCACCAGGCTCTTCTCAATGCCATTTCTGAGCAAACGATTGCGACATCGGAACGGGTAAAGCAAAAATCGATAGAAGAAGCTTCAGTTTAATTGACGTGTGATTTTTGCTTCATTTCAGTAAATGGTTTATTCATAATTAATTGTTTAACTTTGCGGGATTTAAACGCCGATTTCAGTTAGTGCACCAGGCTTTTCTAAATGGCAATTTCTGAGCAACCAAATGAGACATCAGCAATCAATAGAGAAAGCTTCAGTTTAGTTGGCAGGTGTTTTTTCTTCCATTTAAGTTGAAGGATTCTTCTAAGGTTCTGAAGCTACAAAGAGCGTTAGACTTTCACAAATTGTCCCATTTACTGAAGCGTCTTTAACACTTAGTTTTTTTTTCCAGGCTGGTTCGGGACAAGACACTTCGTCACTTTAATGCTGTCTCTTGGCATGGCCAATGCCTATGTTATGAGGACCAACATGTCCGTAGCTATTGTAGCTATGGTGAACCACACAGCTATTGCCATTGATGACGCCGCCGCAACAGACAATGTAGCTGTGTCTGAATGCGGCGTAACTATTGACAAGAATTCTGTAAGTTTCCTTTTCTCACGTGGTTTCACTTTACTATACCAAGAAGATGTGTGGAAGAGAAATGGGATACAGCGTGCTTCTTTTGCTTCAGTCGTTAACATCACCTGAAGCTGACGGTCAATTCGTGTGGCAAACCGATATACAAGCCTACGTTCTGTCCGCATTTTTCTACGGATACGTTTTGACGCAAATCCCAGCAGGAATTTTGGGCAAAAAATATGGGAATATCCGCTTTTTGGGCATCGGGATGCTGATCAACTCGGTGTTTGGTCTGCTCGTGCCCATTGCGGCCGAAATGGGCCTCGGATGGCTGCTAACTGTGAGATTTATACAAGGATTAGGCGAGGTAAGTACGTTGATTGATGATGGTGCCTTTACGAGTCGATTTTATTTGAATTATTGTAAAGACGCAATCAGATCCTGAAAAGGTGATTGGTGAGGAAAAAGACGCTGCTTTGTCCAGAGAACATTCCAATTGAATTCAACTGCTTTTTTCGTGACAAGGCAGGGTTTTCTTCCTGAAAACGCCGGTTTTTGAATTGTTACTATTCCCGGGCAGGGTCCGATTGTTCCGTGCAGCCACGCTTTACTTGCAAAGTGGATCCCCCCTAACGAGAGGAGCCGCATGGGTTCGTTCGTATACGCAGGTACTATTTACTAGTTGATTTTGAGATATTTTTGCATACACGTATATGGCTATGATCAAAGGCCTTGATTGAAATCAGCAACACCAACGCATTCCCTCACTTTGCATCAAATGCCGGTAATCAGTACATCCGACTGTAGGGCGCACTGATGCGGAATGCAAAATTCTGTCCAACTTTGATGATCATGCCGCATTAAACGTGCTCTTTGATTATAGCCATTTCGAACACATTTCGCTCATTATCTCCTGAGTGAACAAGGCATAATTCCTGCATAGAAGCTCCCAATTACCTTAATTGTTGCATTTCAAACTGATGGTCTGACTTTCAAACGTTTTAAACAACTCATCACACATCAACACAGTCACTTTACATTTGAATTGTTTGTTGATTCTGGAGAAACACTCTTTGTGTTCCGTTGGGTGGATGAACTCACTTACAATAATATAAAGAGTTTGTAAAATATTTGCACGAAATGTTAGCGCACAGATTCCTGCGGAGCAAGCGCGATGATTAAACCTAATTTGTCTCATCGAAAATCGGATGATTTTTTGATGTAAAAGGCACCAAAGTTGAGGGTAAATTGGATTAGAATGTCCAATCAACAGCTAGTATGGAATGGACATGTTGAGCGGATGGACCAAAAGCGAATCCCTAAGCAAGTTCTCAGGTGGAAACCAAGCGAAAAAAGCAGAGATAATGAAGAGGAATGGGAGGATAGAAGAGAATGCAATACACCTGGATATGTTTTCACTCCAGGAATCGGTGGTAGGATTTTGTGCACAATAAACGCTAGTGTGAACAACTGAAAACTCAAGAATTTCCAAGTGTGGCAAAAACCCAACCGTTTCGAAGTCAAACCGTTAAATGCGAAAGAAACAAAGTCTTGGTAATTGGAAGCTGCTACAGGTTTTGCCATTAGGGGGAATGAGAGGGTCTGATAGATCTGGACGTTTCAATTGATTACTTAGTGTCGAAGATAAAAATGGGTGTTTTCCTCCACGTTCTGTTGTTGTTAATCTTATCGCAGGATATTACAAATAAGCACAAACACATAACGAAATCCACACAAATCCCTATTTACATTCGCCCATCTCCGTACACAAAGCATTTATCAGGAAATTCTTATTGGTTGTAACTTAAGAGATTAGGACTTTGTAAATTTGAACTTACTTGAACTGCGCAAGCGATCGATGTTGAACGTTAATAAAACGGTTTATTGTGGGAACACGTATTGATAAGGACGGTTTATTATTTAATTGGTTCACTTGGTAAGACCTGCAGCCTTGCTCTCAAAAACGCATTTTTCCATAGGAAAAACTCTGTGCAAATAATCTCCTAATCTCTGCATCTGAACGCGTTGAAACTAAATTAGCAAATCAGAGGCCTAAAAGTCCAAAAAATCCTTCATTTATTACACTAAGAAGTTTCACAATTACATGATTTTTTTACTTTATGTAACACAAAAATATCAACCACGAGTCTCCTAATTGCCATGTACATTACATTTTTATCTGTATGTTAAAGTTCAAGTTCCCAGATAACTAATGAACGTCAATCGGTTGCATTGCTTACACTGAACTAGTTTGATTTTTGAGGCAATTCAAGAATCTCGCTTTGTGCTGCCAAACTGCCCAAAGCGACCGTTTGGGATTCAAGCGAGCCGCATGCGGCACAACATGTTGTTCTGGTGATTTTGCAAGTCGATAAGTGACTTTGCGCTTTCACGATTACGAATAGTGTTTATTAACGGATCAGTAAACAATTTAATTGCGCTCATCCATCCAATTTCCTGGAGTATTCAAGGGCAACATGACTAATCTAGTATCGAAGGAACATCGTTTTATTTGAAAAATCCTCCAATTCACTTTGAAGAATGAGTGCGCATCTGTTTTTGGGTTCTTCATTATCATTGATAAGCAATAGAGGCGACTTAACTATAGCGAACGCTTTAACTATTCTACTATAGAGACTTGTTTCTATTCACAGGAGCGCAATTGGGTACTGTCATCTCCCTGCCTCTTAGTGGGCTCCTTTCGGTCTCACAATGGGGCTGGCCTGCAATCTTTTACGTTTTTGGAGCTGTTGGCACCGTATGGTGCATCACCTTCCTGATCTTCGTCAAAGAAGATCCCGAATCCCATCTTACCATGGATCCGGTTGAAAGAGAATATATCCAGAAGTCTTTGGGCACTATCGTGGGAAACACTGTAAGCACACTTTATAACGTAATGGCTGTTAAGAGTGTTTAAAACACTGGAACCGTTTGGAAGACTTTTTCAAAGGCGCATGTTTTTCAGTTTGCTGTAAAACAGTATTTTACTTTTCCAGAAGACTCCACCGACTCCATGGCTGGATATAGCAAAGTCCTTACCTTTCTGGGCCATTCTTTTGGCCCATATGGGCTACAATTACGGCTACGAGACCCTGATGACCGAACTGCCCACTTATATGAAGCAAGTTCTCCACTTCAGTATTAAAGATGTAAGTATAATGGACTCGACAAAAATTCGAAAAAATTTTGGAAAGTGCTCAATTTAATGCTCTACCCAGGGGCGGATCCAGTTTTAAATTCAAGGGTCGGGTTATGTAGAAAAAATAGAGTCTTCTGTTGTCTATGAAATTAGAAAAATTATTGTCGTTTTGTGCAAGAGTGGCGTAAGATTATTGTAAAATTTCGTGTTTTCCGTCCCCTTTTTGCTCATTTCTCGGAGGCAAAGTGAGCAAGAACGCTCATTTGTACATCATTCTGAACAGAAACAAATGGCCTTTTTAGAAAGTGAACCATGGTTGGAGAATTGTTGGCAGTTTTCTCAAAAAATGCTTGAATTCAAGAAGTTTTAGATTTGCGTGGTTTTTTTTTGAATTGCAAAATCCACTTGAACATGACGCTGCGTTTCTCAAGAACCATTCGAGCCACAAAATTCGTTTTGGCATCACTGGATGGAGAATTGAAAAGTCGATTCAGTCGTAACAACGTTAGTGAGGAAATTCGAGTAGTTTTGACACAAAAAGCGAAATTTGAATATCAGACACTTAGGTTCAAGATTAGAGAGTTTTTGCTCATATCTCGGAGGCAAAATGAACCTAAAAAAGTTTTAGATCTGCGTGGTTTTTTTTGAGTTGCAAAATCCACTTGAGCATGACGCTGCTTTTTTCAAAATTTCTCAAGAACCATTCGTGCCAGAGAATTCGTTTTGGCATCGTTGGATAGAGAATTGCCGCCCTTGGCTCTACCAAGCAATGAAAACCAGAGCATATTTCTAAAACAATGTTCTGTATATGAAAAGTGCGCAACTTAACGCTTTATCACGTATTGAAAACTACACTTTTGTTGCTCAACCGGTTCTCTAAATATGAACCAACCAATAAGAGCGCTTCTGAAGACGTGAGACTTCCTTTAGCGTGAAAACTAGAAATATTTCTAAAACAATGTTTGGTTTAACAAAAGTTGCGCAACTTAACGCTCTATCACGCGTTGAAAACAACACCTTTGTTGCTCAACCAGTTCTCCAAATATGAGCCAACGAAAAAGACCGGTTCTGTACACCCATATTAATTATGAATTTTTGCGTTTTGCGTGAAAACGAGAAACATTTCAAAAACGATGTTTGATATTTTGGCATTAAAAAAGTGCACAATTTAGAGCTCTATCACGCAATGAAAGCCATCAGTTCTTCATCGTTTCTTAAAATATCCAAAGAACTTTCCATTCGTTTTCTCAAATAATCTTCATTATTTACGAGCGTTGAAGATACCATGGATTTTAAGGCCCAGGTTTTTATTTAAGGAGAAAATAAGTAAGCGATTTTAAATGAGATGTAGACGTCTGGTCCCCAAAATCTTCCCGATGCGGGATTTCGTTCAGACAGAAGCATTACCAAAAAGTAATTAATTTTTGTCGCTTTTAACCGACATTTCACAAACGCCCTGTACAATAATAAATTATAATATGCTTCACGCACAATTGTAGTGTTTTCCAATCTTGCGTAGATAACTGCCCAGCCATTATCAACGAGCAGAGCATTTACAAGTATTTAGGCATTTTTTCTGGTTTCGACTACGATAAAATTGTTGAGATTTTTTCACTTTATCTAAACTAAATGGCTGCTTCATGGCTTGATCGTGTGCTGCTTTTAAAGGCATTGGTCGAGCCATTAAACACTTATTTGGACAAATCATTTCCAATTGACCTGAACTGCTGAAATGCGTGCTTTGAAAAGGCGCCAAATAATCAGTTGCATCAGGAATTCCTTAGAATGGATGCTTGGCTCTGACTCGGCCAATTATCATAATATAATGACGATTCAACACTAAAATAATCATCCAGTAAAACTGACGAATTTAAAAGGAAAGATTGGACTTGATGGAGCCGAAGCGCAATCATTGAGCAATTGGATTCGGGCTATCAGTTGCTTTCTTCGACACGTGTAGTTCCAGACTTCAGTAAACAAAACTCTTTGCTTGAACAACTAAAACAATCATTAATTATCCACTGATTTATTGTATGGTGTAAATTTCCTTAACCACTTTATTGCGCTAATAAATTTAAAGGACATATTTGGAATAACCATCAGCATCATTCAACCTTACGAAAAGTCGCTCACTTAAAATCATATTAATTATAGTGATTTGTTATGGCAAGTTGGCGTACTATAATCAAAGAGCAAATATTTAACTTGCTGTTGATGCGTAAACCAGACTGATGACGCTGCAACTGAAAAACTTTTTTTTCAGAATGGCTTTCTATCAGCTTTGCCCTACTTGGCCATGTGGATTTTCTCCATCATGGTCAGTCAGATCGCCGATTGGATGCTGACTAAGACCTACTTCAGCTCAACTCTAGTCAGGAAAATTTTGAACAGCATCGGTAAGTCTTTAGAGCCCCCCAAAAAAGACCTCACCAGCAAGTAATAATTAAATTTAGGCCAATTTGGACCGGCAATCGCTCTGTTTATTGCTGCTTTTACTGGATGCGACAAATGGGTAACAGTCACCCTTCTCACCATTGGGGTCGGTTTGAACGGGGGTACCAATTCAGGCTTCAGAGTGAACCATTTGGATATTTCTCCGCAATTTGCCGGCATTCTTATGTCTTTCACCAACTGTATGGCCAATATTGTAGGACTGATGGCACCCATTTATGCCGGATTTATGATCAAGGGAACGGTCAGTATTACATTTTCAATTTTTCGAATGCAATTGATAACTTCATTTGGTGCAAATAAATAATCTCCGTTTGGATTTTTACAGCCCAGCGTCGAAAAGTGGAGGATTGTCTTTATAACAGCATCTGGAGTTTACGCGTTTTGTTGTACGTTTTATTTGCTCTTTGCATCTGGTGAAAGACAACCGTGGGACAAGCCTCAAGAAGAAGATAAAGAGCAAAAAGAACAAAAAGAACGTATGGTTTGATGCATGAAAACTAGCTGGAAGCCAAGTTTAGTTTCTCGTTATCAATCAGACAAAACAAAAAATCTCCAATAAATGCTATTGAAAGACCTCTAGACTAAAAACGCCATTATGTTTAACTAATTTTCTAGCGGCAGATTCATGCCGAAGTGAAGTGCATAATTTTCAGGACGATAAACTAATATGAATCAAGTGTTTTGAGAGAAAATTGCACATGTTTGTGATTGCGATATTATTTATATGTATATGCCTTAATTATGCTCATTATTTGGATGTTCATGAATGGGTTGTAGGTAAAATATACACATATTTTTAATAAGAGAAGAACTGTGAGTGTTAATGAAGTGATTTAAGTAAGTCTACATTTTCAGTTATAATTTAGGTACAACATACATATATTTTTGTTATCATATGTCACCCTTTATATGGTACTTGTTTATTTATATTTATATTATGAACATAATACATTTTATCTTCAAATATCAGACGCCTTGATCAGAGTGTTGATTCGGTTTTAAGCTCAGTCGAAAAGAAATTGCATGTGCGTAAAGTACACAATTTGCATAAAGTGGTTTTATTTTTTCAACATGGCAAATTTTGTATTTAAAATTCTATAGAAAATCCTGGCGATTTATATTGTGAAACCGGGTTTACTAAACTCATTTTAGGACAATTTACAGCAGCAAAATCATTGCCATTGTTTTGAACTTGCATAAAATGTAGCAACACTCTTTATAATAAATTGTACTAGATTTTATAAAATTGATGAAAATAAATATTTTTCTACGAATTTTGCATTTTATATACTTGAGTTGGGCGAAAAAATTAGAGTCAGAATCAAGCACTTCGAGGGCGACACTGATTAGAACGGCAGGAACCACCATCAGMTCTCCAAWTTTGTTGGTGATTGTCTGACTGTCTCTCTAGAATGATGTACAAATGAGCGTTYTTGCTCATTTTKCCTCCGAGATATGAGCAAAARCGGRACGGAAAACATTAAATTTTKKCATAATCTTGCACCTAAGTGTCTGATATTCAAATTTWACTTTCTGGGTCAAAACTACTTGAATTTCCTCACTCACGTTGTTACGACTGAATCGASTTTTCCATTCTCTATCCAACGATGCCTAACTTCTTAAAATCAATACTTTTTTGAGAGAACTGCCAACATTTCCTAACCGATGGTCCACGTTCGCAAAA